CTTGTGTTTAGGTGATATCATAAACTACTGTTTGTTAGGTTTAGTTGAAACAAATAGTACCAACGTACGAAAGAATTTCTTGAGTCAAACTTTAAAGTCAATTCTTGCAACACGGAAGTTTCGAGGAAATTTACCTCAGTCGATAGATTATGTAACTCAAGGTACCCTCGCTCAAAGGCTCAAAGCATTCACGTGAAATCGCACTACCAAATAATGCCAGAAGTGAGTTCACTGTATTCACTGAACAGTTAAGAATATTGTTTTTCACTTAAACCTTCGAGAGAAGCTCTCCCACATATAATACCTTTTCTACGAGAGCCTATGGCGTAGTGTTGCTGTTCGTCACGAAGTCATCGGCCAGAAGTGCAATGCCATATTTTCTGAAGACACTGACTACGGCTTGGTGGCCCGTGGCCCTTACTACGTGTAAATTTTAACTAAAAATTTTGGTGATAGTTACCCTGTGTCCCCTAAAAGGATGAAAGGCAAGACATCTGACCTAGATTCGAAACTGCGTACTTTCGACGACGAATCTGATGCCATAGCGACTAAGCTACTTCATGAGGGGTAATCGAAAGCTACTGTAGCGACTCCGGTGGCAACTACTGCAACAGATAATGAGGAGATTCCATTCAGTGGTAAGAGCTAGTTATTTTCGTTATTCAAACCGTTATTATCCTGCTGAAACGATGGCCCGGAAATGATGCAGGAGTCTTCTCTCGTAGGCTATGAGGTGTTGCTGCGCTGCACTCGCCAGTGACCTTCGTCCATGCCAAAACATCATAAGTGTTCCACCTCTGCGAATCCAATGGACTAAATAAAGGTCGGGGAGACGTGTGCCCTAGTTCACGACGGTTAACACCCCAAATTAACTGTTGAGGAATTACTCACCAAAAGAGAATGTTAGAGAAGCGTTGCCTAGGGTTGATGGTACACCCGCAACGAGGACAAAGAATGGAGGATGAAAGAAACGGCTGATTTTGAAAGAACTTTTTAAAGCCCGGAAAATCAGAACGATGCAAAACGAAAAAGGAAATTACCATTGCCAGAGCAGCCGCTAACATCATTCTGATGTGCAATATTCGACCAGATCATAAGCTAGAGCCGCTTCAGGGTAGCGTTTTGCGAAAAGTTTTCGAAGAGCTGACTGATCGACGTTAGATCTGGCTTTGTAAACAGCCTTAATGATGAATAGTAATCCATTAGCTGGTCATTTTAATGGGAAACTTAACAGCTTCATGGGATTCCTCAGTCATGAAAGAGGAATGAGGAATGAACCCGCATAAGTCACAAAGCTTCGTCGCGATGAAAATGAACTTTTCTTGAGGTCCAACACGATAGCATTGCAATCTCTAGGTATGATGACATGAGGAACAAGTTTTGGCAACATGACTATGTCATGTTATATTTGAAATCTCGACCATTCAAGCGACGAGAACGATGCCATTTTCCCACTAATTCCGGATATGTTTTCTATTCGTCATTCCTTGATCAGAGGGCAGACGGTGGCATGAAAAGCTTTCGCCATGTTTTCGATGAAAATCAATGCGCATAATAGCACCTGCGTGCATAACTCGATCACCAGAGGATAAAGAAAATAAACTGAAGACAAGATTCTCTACAGCAAGTCTTGCTCATGTTCCTCAAAAGTCGTGCACACATCCTCAAACAAGCCGCGGCGAGATCCATTCATCACGTCTTCTGCCAACGATGATGCAATGCCTTTCATTTTGGAAATTAGTCCGAAAATGAACGACGAACGACCATTGTACACTGTAGTTCAGAAGTTGCAAGGTAACTTTGTACATTGTAAAGCATTACGTGTTTTCCCCGGTCACAACAGATCTTTAACTATGCCATGTACAATGAACGAAAGATGACTAATTATAGATTCAAAAGAGCGCTATCTAGATGATACAAGAAATGTAGAGAAAAAAGGGACATCATGCGCAATCCAGAGCGACTGAGGATCTATTCCGGCGTCCGTTAGTACGAAGTGCTGTTGTTCATTTTTATTTAACAGTCGCGGTAGACAGCATCAAGCGTTAAAGTATCGACAGAGAGAGAGAGAACGCTTTTCAATAAGACCGCAAAAGATCCAGGTATGAAGGGTTTAATTGACCAACGCGGAGTACGCGCACGATACCGTTATGCTGAACGACTTCGGCAGAGGCCCGGAGTCCTTTCATGCCAGTGTTTCCATCAGGGAAGAGGAAGTTGGGCTACGAGTCAATTCTACAATAATGAAAAACGTCATGATATCAGCTGGAATGGTACGATGTTGGAGGAAGCCTACTTTTCCAAATATCCGGGTTCACTCTTCGCCAGTGACTGGAACTGTGACCCAGGAAATAGGCTCATAGAACATTTCGCAAAACTTATAAAACTTTACACAGCAATACCAAGTACGGAAAGCGGAAAGTTCGATCAGTAATGAGGAAGACGAGGCTGCCATTTTAAAAGCGGTAGTTTTCTCCTTTCTTCTGTACGGTATGGAAAAAGCTGCATTTTTGTGGCGCAAAGAAAATCAACGTTTCCAGCAACGAAGTATAGTTCAAGCAATGAACTATTCCCCTGTACGATCCTCAAGGTTCAGTGAAAACAATAGAGCATCGAGTGATCTCATTCTGAGAATCGTGAGACGCAGTTTCTCTCATGGTTCGATAAAATGGCTCAAAAATGGACAACGTGAGTAGAATTTTCATCCTATGGCAGATGACCATGGGGTGTAGAAAAAGAGAAGACCGGTTCAAAAGCTTGTAAAACCTAGTAGAAGCTGATCGGCTTGCGACAAGAAGTTTTTTCTTTGTCGAAGTAGCTAATGTTTAAAGTATTCTGAGGAATCATCTCCTGATGTCGAGTATCATTAATCTATGCCAAGAGTAGCTGTTATGTTTATCGCACTTCAGATGACGATGACAAACAACAGCAGCAATCTCTGAACGATTGACGTTTCTATGATCGCATTGGTTTCTACCATAAAAAGTATGATCGTCAATGGTGTCAATTCTATAGAACCCTGCAAAACCTCAAAACAGAGCTGTAGAACGTCGCTTTCCTTTGCACATGCATAAGCACAATAAATACAACGCTAATTTAACTTTCCTTTCGGAAGGTCGGCGGCACGATGGGAAGATTTTCCTAAGCTTTCTTTGCGGAGTGGTGCAAACGAAATTATGAAACGGGTTTTTCATTTCCTTCTGAATTTTCATGCCTTTGCTTTACTTTTATTTGGGGTTATTATTTCCTGCCTGTAGTAGTACTGCTGCAGCCAGAGAAACGACTGGTGGTTTAAGTTGAAATAATTATGTATAATGTATGCTTTCAGTTTCCTGAGGTCTTACCTAACCCTGGTGCATAATTCATAAATTTGTTTCTATGTAGCCGCCGATCATATTTAAATGCCGAGTTAAAACAGGGAAAATAATGTTATCAATTAGTATTTTAAAAACATGATTTACATTCAATTTCCTTATGTACCACTGATTCGTTTGTACAAATACCGCTTCGTAGAACAGCCAAGTCGACTGCAAGACCACGACATCCTATACACTACGCTAACCATTTGGATATCGCTACTGGCGGGTGGACAGAGGCAGATGTGTTCGTGTTGTTGAG